TCATGATAATCCTTGGTTCTCAAACATAATTAACATTGAATGGTAATGTTGCATCATTCTATTGGTAATGGTTTTTAACCATCATTGATTCACTTCATATTGTATATAGTTGGTCGTCTTTATTCTTTCATTCTGCTTGGTAGTTTAGTTGGATTGTTCTAGTATAGTAAAGAGTTTGTTGATTGAAATATGTTTGACTTTGAGTTGACTTATTTTTGTTAATAAATTCTTGTATTTTAAGAAATTGTGTGAATTTATTCCATTGTGTGTGCAGAGTTTTGCTGTTCAGTAATGTCAGAGCTTGGCTCACCCCTTTCATTATTGTCCTAATACCGCCACCTTATTGGGCTGGTATTCACCAGACAACACTTAACAGACCTAATTATTAAACAGTGGTGCAGTAGGTAGCACTGTTGCCTTGCAGCAAGAAGGTTCTGGGTTTGACTCCTGGCCGGGGGTCTTTCTGCATGGAGTTTGCTGTTTTCCCCGGGCATGCGTGAGTTCTCACTGGGTACTCAGGCTTCCTCCTACAGTCCAAAAACATTGTGACTGTTAGGTTAACTGGTCTCTCTAAATTGCCCTCAGGTGTGAATGAGTGTGTGCATGGCTGTTTGTCCTGTATGTCTCTGTGTTGCCCCGTGATGGATTGGCGACCTGTCTAGGGTGTACACTGCCTCTCACCCATAGACTGCTAGAGATATACACCAGCTTCCCCTGTGACCCACTATGGAATATGAATATAGAATATGAATATAGAAGATGAATGAATATTCATAGTAATAATCACAGCACTGGTAATAGTTTTAAATAATTTACACAACAATAAAGCATCAAAAACATCTGTCTTGGTTTTATTGGATCTCAGTGCTGCATTTTACTAAGCTGTTCACCACATCAAGAGTTTTTTTTTACAGAACTAGAGGTCTTTGTTTTTCAATTTTTCCCTCAGTAGGCACCCAGGAAATAGGGGGAGAGGGGAGACATTTGGCAAAGGTCTCCGGGTTTCGAACCCGGGACGGCCACTTTGAGGACTGTAGCCTCTATACGTGGGTCGCGCACTTAACCACTACACCACTAGCGCCATGCCCACCACATCACGATTGACATGAAAAATTTGTGTGACATTCTGGCACTGAGCTTAGCTGTGTCTGATTTTATTTGACAAACCAGGACTACTTTGTAGCATTTGGTCATTACATATGTAACCTAACAAAAATCAAATGTGGAGTTCCTCAAGGCTCCGTTCTGGGGCCACTTTTACGCAATATCTACATGCTTCCCTTGGCTTGAATTATGGAATATAACAACACCTGTTGCAACATATATGCTGATGACACGCAAGTTTCTATTTCTGTCATTACTCAACCAAAGTCCCTTATAGCCACACATTATTCAGGAAGTTCCAGTTCATCTAAAATGCTGCTGCCAGGGTTCTGTCCAACCCTTGGAAAATGGATCATGTCACACCAGTCTTTAAATCACTTCACTGGCTGTTATCGGTCTATGAAGCATGGGATGGTCTTGGATTTCAAGGCATTTCAGAGTTGCTAGTCAGGTATGATTCATCAGAGACCTCTTCAGTCAGTGTTCCCAGGATTGAAACTAAACAAGGGGAGGCAGCATACAGTATCTATGCTGCGAGGCTATGGAACTCCTTAGAAACGAGATGTTCATTGGTTACTGCAACCTTTCTGTAAAGGTCTAAGGTTTTGTTATCAGTTAATTTGTGTAAGATTTATGATTATTGTTCATAAATATTTATCAAAAACTATAATTAAAAATCATAACTGAGAAGAAATAAATTCTAACCAAAAATCATTTCCTACAAATAAAGATCAGAGATACACTCTGGTGGTGCGATTATTGAGCTCACAGCACTTATTACAATTAGTTAATTATCATTAATAATTGATAATTATTCACCAAAACCACGCCAAATGTCAATGTGTTATCAATTGTTTCACCGAATGGTGGAATTCTAACCTGATCTTGACAGATAATCACTCTTACACAAAATAAACACAAACGCTGTCTTTATGTGAAAATTTATTAAACCAATAGTCCCTCTTAAAATCAATCTATTCTGGTCCAACAACGTTCACCTAACTAAGCATGCACTATTCTACAAAAAGGGGTTCACTAATAATCTAAAGTAAGGATATGTGTAGGAGGGTAGATGGAGATAAAACCAGCAGTTTATGGACAAATGAGAACAACAGAACAATTGTGATTAACTTGGAAAGAGGCACAAAAACCACTACGCTATGAAACCTTTCACTGTGTGTGTAGCCACACCCGGACACAGAGCATCTAGCAGCCGGCCCCTTAGCCACTAACAGCTGAAAGCCCCAAATCTCGAACAAAGGGTCATAACACTTGCTAGAACGAACAATGGAGAGGCCAGGCCACTAGGTCCAGACTGCAGTCTGTTTCGAATGAAAAACTTCCAAAGTTCAGCTTTAACTCCTGGCTCATTGACGACCAGCAGGACGAACCCATCCAACTTTGCGCTTCCACAGTATTCAAACAGTAAATCAAAACAGTTCAGCATAAAACACTTCAATCAATATTGCATGCAACACTAATGGTGATCCTAATTCAGTTTAACTATGCCTCACCCTGCCCAGCCCTTTAAATACACCTATCCAATTTAATATCAAAAGAACAAAATCACTTTGACATCGATTTCTTCTCTTCACTGGCTTGAGGATGGGTCGTGGGTCCGAAAAAACAGGGAGGAACCAGAGTGTCATGCATTTGTGGTCAACTCAAAAACGGTACACGTCTATTCCGTCCAAAACAGTGAAAATATGAGGAGCCATTGCAGTCAACTGAAAAACAAGGAGGAAACTCTTTTCCTTGGAAACAAAACCTCTGTGGGTTTGACCTGCGCCTGGGTTTCACAGTCTTTGATAGGGATATGAATCTTCTGATCTTCTTGTATCGGACAGTTTTCCAGCTTTCGAGCTCTTCTGGCAATGGCCGAGTAGAAAAGTGAACCCCCCCCACGAGCTTCTATTTCTCCAGAGATGCCCCCTAACATCGTGAACCACGACTGGAAATGGCGGCTAAAAATTAGGTTCCTCGTCTTTTTATAAGCTCTGATGACGTCAGAGCTTTAACTCCTGTGGAACTGTGACGACAGTTGCTGAGCTGCGCAGTAGAGTTGTTAACCTGACCAAAATGGCGGGTATGACCACAACATTTGGTTTATTATATTTTACCTATTTATTTCTTTAAAAACTGCTTAATAATCATTTCTTTTTGTCATTCTTAATTCTTTTGTTACTGTTTTATTGTATTTTTTATCTTTAAAATTGTCTTCTTTACCTGTGTTCATTCATTTTTGTGTAAAAAAAACCTTGTGGATGAATTGTGCTTTACAAATGAATTTGCCATGCCTAAAACCAAAAGTCATAACCTCAATGGCAGCAGAATCCTTCAATGTGACATCTAGGCCCGTTTAGCTCCATTCCCTTCTTACGTTTTAATCCCAGCTGGACTGTTGACACGGTGAATCCCTGCAAGTCTGTAATTGTAAACAGCCCTGCATCTGAGGCCTTCATCTGATCTAGAAAGACCATCGAACCTTCCAAAGAGAGGCGGTCCTCGAAACCGAAATTTGCTTGAGCCTAGAATGAAAAAAGGCTTTTGATTAGAAAACATGCAATAAGAGAGGGAGGAAAATTAAACAAAGATACTGTATTTGACCTTTTATTATATAAGCTAATTATAGCTTATATGAGCGAATCTGATATATAAATCATGAGACAGGCATTTCTTAAAAGATAATAAAACCAAAAATAATGTGCCCTTTATTTGCTTCTCAATAGTCATATTTTCTTTCAAAAAAAATACATTTGAATGTACATTTAGAATTTATTTTTCTAGTTAAACAACCAAAACCAATATCAAGCTAAGCCTACTAGCTAAGTTCAGCTTTTGCATATTGACCAAAGAAGCGCTCTTAAGGTCAGTACAGACAGCCTATATTTTATATGTTACCCAAATTCAATTGTTTGTTAATTAAAATATTTATCAGGCTTTATCAGGGTTTTAAATGTCATCCTTTTTAATGCAGCTTGATTGTAAAAAAAAAGTTGTTTATGTTGGGGTGAATAGTGGTGCAACTGTTAGTCCCTTATCTACACATCCAGAAGGTATTGTGTTCAATGTCTTATAGGGGCCTTTGAGAGAGGAGTTTTAACTTTCCCCCTGTGCATACATGGGTTCTCTCTGGGTACCCCTACTTCCTCCAACTACCAAATATCCTGTGTGGTTCTATGATGGATTAGTGGCCTGTCCAGAGTGTATCTAACCTATTGACCCTTGGGGCATGTGACCCGCAGTGAGTAAGCAAGTTCTACATTTTAACCCAACTTGTTTGGTTTGGGTTTTGGGTTCAACAAATCCATAATCCAACCATGCTCCATCAACTCAGGACTGGCTCTGTCCATGTTTAACAAAAGCATGGGTTAGCAAAAAAAAACCTTAATTGGGTTGTTTTTAACCCAGCAGATCTTTGAAGAAAATAAGAGTTTGGTTTTAGTTACACTTGTGAACTCTCCCTTATCCATCAGCAGAACTGGTGAGGATTCAGAGTCAGGGGTGTAGTATAGCTGGACCAAGGAGCTGTTCAGAATCAGGTTGATCTTCAGTCTCTCGCCGTTCAAAAGGTTCACATGGTTTTTGTGCTCTGGAACAGACAATGGAGAAGAGAGGAAATTTAATAACTTCACAGCGGCTCTGTTTACAGACTTCAAGTGCATTAGCCCTTACCATTAACATTGGAATCTTTAAAAAGCCATTAAAGCATACAGTGGGAGCATAAAACTAAAGCAACAACAACATCCTGAATGAAGACATTAAAGCAAGTCATGCACAGTTAAAGATAAATATTCTGCCTTCATCCGCTGTCCTCACCTTTGACTTTCAGACACACTTTCATTTGAATAACACCTTCGCTGTCCCTGATGGTGTAGCTACCCTCGTCGGCACCCGTAACAGCACTGACGGTGATGGATCGCTCACTGACGCTGATGCGACCTTGAAGGGGCTTCATGGAGATCCCTGTGGCAGTCAGCACCACGGTCGCCGGTCTGCAGGAGGAAAAGTCGAAGACGATGAACTTTTTTCAACCTTTTCTTGATGTGTCTCACACTTGTCTCAGTGCATGTGCGTCAAGGCTGAAAAATAACACATCTGACTCATGGGTTTAGAAGTTAATGTGATTGTGCTGACTCTACCTGGATGTCTGGTTGGCCTCCACTGCGATGGGCCTGTACTCCAGAGTGATGGGGGTGTTCACCCCCACCACCGGAATATGAAAGTTCCCGCCGTATTTGGTGATCTGCTCGATGGTGCAGTCTGGAAGGTAAAAAAAAGGGATGAACTTTTTATTTATGAGTTAACAGAAGCCACAAATTTAACGAGAGCTGACAGGAAAGTGCCTGACAGTTTAACAAAGGCCAATGAGGCGGGATAATCTGCTTGAGATGAAATACGAAATGACAGGAAAATGACATTGGTAAGGGAAGGGAAAGGAAAAGCAGCCTGGCAGATGTGGAAAAAAGGGACTAATTGCACAAAAGCAAAAGAGCGTTGATCCGAAAATATCAGGGTAATGGGAATGATAGGGTATGACCAAAACCAAACAGAAGGAAGGAACGACAAAAGAGACAAGATAAGGACAGGAAAATAGCGAGGATGGACGGAAATAGGTGGGCAAAGAGCTGGATAATTGTTGCCTGACATCTCCAGCTCTGCTCTCACAGTCAAAAAGCAAACGTACCTCTTCATTAACTCGCATTACTCCCTCCAAGTGGCACTGTACCAACGTATTTACTACAGTCACTTTTACCCGTGCACACTTCTCCCTCTCTCTGAATTTAAATCGTTAGACAAGTCTCTCGTATTTGCGTGGGATTTATCCGATGACTGCATGGTGAAAAAAGTGATGGACAGGACAACACAGTGATTCTGGTGCTTGCCTTGGGTCCTCACAATTAAATTTGGCCCTAAAGTAGAAAACCATGCAGCACCCTCTAATTTAATTGTAACCACTGGTAAAGATGTGCTAAAG